GCGTCGCGCGCGCGGGCGCGGCTGCGGTGCCGGAGCCACACGGCGGGGGGGGCGTTACGTCCATACCCCCTTCTCGCCCCCCCCCCCCACCCCCCCCCCCCCACCCCCCCCCCCCCCACCCCCCCCCCCCCCCATGACGCTCGTCATCGCCGATCATAAAGAAACGCGTTCGTACATACATACACACATACATACATACAGACATACATACATACAAACAAATGTACATGTGTGTAAGTGTGTGTGTGTATGTGTGTGTGTTAGCCAGCGTGGACCCCACATATTACAGTGGGGGCCCATGCCAAGAAACACCCTGCTTGCCTCCAGGGTGCCCTGGGTTTCTCGGGTCTCGAGGGTTTTGCTGTGGAAAGCGTGGCGTTCCCACACCGAAAATCCATAGACGTCCTGAGGTCTCAGGGTTGGGTTTCTTGCGGAAGGTTTCTTGTAGTCGGGCCCCTACTGTACCGAGCGATCTCGGCTGTCCGGAAGCGAAGATCCGAGGAGGGACAACGATAGTTGGTTTTCTGGGGGCCTTTCGTCGCCACAGCTGGACGCTGCTCGGAAAATTGGTGCGGTAGGACCCGGGAGGGGTCTGGGGACAGATTTTGAGTTGCCGTTTTCTCAGCCCACGTTGTTCGTAGAAGACGCCGGTGCCGGAGGCCAGAGCCCACGCTTCTGCCGACGCGACCGTGCCGTGCACGCCGCTTCATCGGGTTGAGTCTCGTCTATCGCCAGGCGCTCGCCCAGCTCCATCATCGGGAGCTTTGAGAGGGGGGTCAATGCAAACGGGGGTCAGCCAGAGCGCCAGATCTTGCAGGATCCTGCAAAGCCAGGTTTGCACTGACCTGGGATGTTGGAGGATGCTGCAGGATCTTGCAAGGCCTGGCTGGCCCTGGTTAGCACTGACCCAGGTCAGTACAGTCGGGCCGAGGTATAAGATCGAGGTCGGGTTGGGGAGGGTACCCTAGCGTTCTTCGTGTTTGTTGGGTATTGTGCACTTTGGGAAGGGTGCCCTTGGATGTCCTGTGTGTTTTGGCCAACAGAGGGCCTCATGTTCTAGTGGGATGTTTTCCTGGCCTAGGTCCGACAGTATATCCCCGACATCATCGGGTCGGGCCTTTCGCCAGGTCACCCCCAGGGGCGCGAAGATGATCGCGCTTCGCGCGTCGCAGCCTGGGCCTGAGAGGCTTCCCTTCTCCAAGGGGGCGCCGCGGGAGCGCGCGGGCGCGAAGTTATGGTCCAGGGTGTGCTTAGCTGTTCCTGGGCGCCCCCCCCCCCCCCTACAGAGGGAGGCCAGCCGACGACGGCGGACAGGACGACTCGCTCACGGCCGCGCAGATCCTGTACCCGCTCATGCAATGCACGGACATCTTCTACCTCAAGGCGGCCCCCCCGTTCTTCCTTCCTTGCTCGCCCCTCCCTTCTCTGGTACCACCAAACGGGGTAAGGCGGCCCGGACCCATATCACTTCAAGTATCCTCGTTGATCCCTCCCTCCTGCTCGTCCTGCTGCTCCTCCTCCTCGTCCTCCTCCTCATCAGCCTCATCTTCCTCCTCCTCCTCCTCCTCCTCCTCCTCCTCCTCCTCCCTCCTGTTCCTCCTTCCTCCTCCTCCTCCTCCTCCTCCTCCTCCTCCTCCTCGGCCCTAGTGAGAAGGCAGGGCTGTAGCACAACAAATCGCAGGGGATTTTGACAGAAGTACTTAGGTCACCTGAGTAGGTGCTCTGACGTTGTACCCCCTTATGCGGATGTCCTTGTCATTGTCATCATCCTCCCTCCTCCTCCTCGTCCTCCTCCTTCTCCTCGTCCTCGTCTTACTCCTCGTCCTCCTATATGTTCCTTCCTCCTCCCTCTCCTCCTCATCCCCTGCTGCTGCTGTTCCTTCTATTCCTCCTCCCTCTTCATCCTCGTCATCTTCCTCTTGCTCATCCGCCACCCCCTCCTCCCCCTCCTCCAAAGTACACAGCTCCCATGCCTGACTAGGCATTACACGATGGGGCCCTTCTGAGGAATCCAGGTCCGCTATGATACCCGTCAGCGGATAGAGAAAAAACAACGCAATGAGACGGGATGGATGGGAGGGGTCGGGTGTCAGATATACCGCGAGTGCCGCTAGCTTGCTTTCCCCCCTCTTGTCCCACCCCCTCCTTGCTCTTCCCCTCCCTCCCGTCGATTCTCCCTCTCCTCCCCCTCTCAAGGGAGGGGGGGAGAGGCGGACATCTGCCAGCTCGGCGTCGACCAGCGGAAGGTAAACATGCTTGGCCGCGACTATTGCGATGCCGCGGGCAGGAAGGAGAAGCCCGTCATACTATCCCCCCCCGCGGCCAGCGGGCGGGCCTCGGGGATTCCAGTAGCCACGGCCTCCGGGCCTCCCTGGGGGGGGGGCCGATGGAGACGGGGCCGCGGGGGTCTCGCCGCATCGCCGATGTGACGGCGATGCGGCTCGATGTGCTTGGTATCGCTCGGACGTGTGCACTGCTTCTCGGCGGGGATCATGGAGAAGCATCCTGGATCATCCTGCGAGAAAGACCACGCACGAAACCGAAAAAAGCACAGGGAATTGACGTCCGAGCGATGGCCAGTGTTGAGCCCTATCCGTCGCGTGGGCAAGCCAAAAGCGACGACGATATCGGGGACGTGCCCTCGTCGCCGAACCAGGGGGATGTCAGCCATGGGGGTATGGACATGTTTCAATGTGGTGCAGATCGGCGGCGAGCGAGGGGTGGCAATGAGAAGGCGAAGGCCCTCTCAGAGGCGGCGGGGGACTTCTCAGAAATCCTCGCGCCTTCTGAGAAGGTTTTGTTCGGTCTTCGGGGAAGGCTTAGAGCATTCCTCGGAAGGCCCGGGGACGCCCGAGCCTTCTGAGAGAGCTTCCTCCTCCTCACTTCCCCCCTTCGCTCGCCGCCGAAAGGATTTTCTCCGCGCCCACTGCGCCGATGCACCGCCGACGTCTCCGACGCGTCGCCGACGCATCGGCGATGCGGCGCGATCCTTCGGCCCCATCTGCTCGGCCTCATTCAGGAGGCCTCTACGGTCGCCGCCTCGGGAGGTTCGAAATCGAGGAGAGGATGCCCCCCCCTGTCGGCGGCGAGCACGGGGGGGAAGTGAGAAGGGGCGGGCCTTCTCAGAAGGCTCGGAAGTCCCCACGCCTTCTGAGAAGTTTTCCGAGCCTGTCCCCCCGAAGACAGAGCAAATTTCTCAGAAGGCGCGAGGGCTTCTGAGAAATCCCGCCACCCTCTGAGCAGGCATTCTCCTTCTCATTTCCCCCCTCGCTCGCCGCCGACCATGGCAATCCGATCAATCCGATTTCGTTTAGTTGCTCAGTTCGGTCTTGTCTTTCAGTTGATCTGAGCCGATCTGAGTCGACCCCACCCTTGCACGGCGCAGTTCTGCATATGCGATTTGATTCGATTCGATTGCGATTCCAGGCCGATGCAGCCTGGTTCGACGCACGCTCTGACCCGATCCGATTTTAGGACTCCGCCTCACAATCCCTCTGATGCTCCCTTCGGATTACTTGACAGTCCGTTGAATTTCCCGAAAGCCCTTCTTCTTTTTCCCCTCTTTCCTTCTCTGCCTCTGGGCCCCTGGCCCGCGCACGCGCACGTGCTTCCGCGGAGATGGGAGCGCGCGCACGAAGAGACAAAAACAGAGGAGGAGGGGGGACGCGGAGGAGGAGGGGGAGTGGAAGAGGAGAGGAGGAGGAGGAGGAGGAGGAGGAGGAGGAAGAGGAGGAGGAGGAGGAGGAGGAGGAGGAGGAGTTTGCGGACGAGGAGGAGAAGGGCGGGGGAGGGAGGAGGGAGTGGGAGGAGTTCGAGGAGGAGGAGGAGGGAGGAGTGAGATGAGGGAGGTGTGGGAGGAGGCGAGGAGGAGGGAGGAGTGGGATGAGGGAGGTGGGGGAGGAGGGAGGAGGAGGGAGGGAGGAGGAGGAGGAGAAGAAAGGATGAGGACCTCCAACCTCCCACTCCTTGCTTCCGCTGCTGCTCATCCTCTTTACCTCCTCTTTCTTATCCTCGTCCTGGCCCTTGGGGTGGCCCACTGGCCACGGTGCCGTCCCACCACATGCTCTACGGCCTCAAGGCCGGGCAGGCGAAGATGTCGAAGTCTGATCCGGACAGCGCAGTGTTCATGGAGGACACTCTGGAGCCGATCACCTGCAGGGGAGAGGAGGAGGGCGAGGAGGAGCGCGAGGGCGAGGAGGACGAGGAGGGGGAGTGAGGCAGAGGAGGAGGGGGAGGTACGGGGCGGGCCTGGGATGAAGATCAATCGCTCCAGAGCAGTGGTGGAGCGCTCTCAGAGCGTCTCCCGGCGCTCGGGAACGGCCTCGCCGCCCGACACATCTTCCAGGCTTGCTGGTTCTCAAAGAGATTCCCGACGCATCTTCAGCCGCCTATGTCCTCATCCTGAGGAGGGGGAGGGGGAGTGGGGGGAGCAGTAAGCAACAGAGGAATCTCCATGAGTGCTCGGGTGAGCCAATACTACTCCTAGGCGTGGATGTGGGTCGAGGGGGAGAGGGGAGGGCGGGGGGCCTAGTATTCCCAGCCACTCGGTGTTGAGTTGGGTCCTCGCTTGGAATCCGCAGCGCCCCGCGTCTCCTCCTCCTCTCGTTGCATTCATCCTCCTCAGCCTCCTCTCCCTGTCCCCTGCTTCTGCTCGCCCTTCGTATGTCCATTTCGGCACACCCCTCACATGCATCGTGGCCTCATAAGGAGCTCCACCGAAGGCCCCAGTGGCAGCGGTCGCATGGCGTCCTGGCTCCAGATGCTGCGGCCGCATGGAATCCCCCCGCCCACTTAGGCACACTCCTCACACGTGTCGTGGCCCTCTTTTCACCCAAGGCCCCAGCGGCAGGGCCCGCATGGCGTTCCTCAACGCATCGTGGCGCCGTGGGAAGCTCCAACGAAGGCCCCAGGAGCAGTGTTCGCATGCTGCCGCGCCCATGTCGGCACACCCAATCACACGGTTCGTGGCCCTATGGGGAGTTCCACCAAAGGCCCGAGTCTGGCTGTGTTCGCGTGCTGCGGCGCCCATTTAGGCTCACACAGTCACACCATTCGTGGCTTATATGGAGCTCTACCGAGGGCCCTACCGCCAGAGCCCGCATAGCGTTCCTCCGCCCATGCCGTCACACCCCTAACACGCTTCGGGGTCTCATAGGAAGTTTCACCGAAGGCCTCAGTGGCAGGGTTCGCACGCTGCCGCGCCCATGTCGGCTTACCTCTCACACGGTAGGTCTGACATGAGTTCTACCGAAGGCCCCAGTGGCGGTGATGGCATGGCGTTGTCGCGCCCATTTCGGCACACCGCTCGCACGCGTCGTGGCCCAATGGGGGGTTCCATCGCTTCCCAACCTTACCTCTCGTTCCTAGACCCCCTCTGCTATTTTTGTCCTCGTCCTTATCATATACGTCCGAGTTTGCTCTTGCTCGCCCCATCTCCTTCTCGTTTGAAATGCCCCACCCGCAGCTGCAGTTGACTGGGTCCTTCGCTAGGGACTGTTTGAGGATCTTACATTGTGTTAAGATGATTGGGGAGCTTCGCGGGGTTCCGAAGATCAGCAGGAGAAAACCTGCATCATGAACAGGATGAGGTCATTGCATGCACAGTGTCCCTAGCGGGGTTTCGAGTGTTAGGGGTCTTGAGAAGGTTGTTGATGTGGAGTAGGAGAAGGGGTTCTGGGAGGTTCCCGGGTATGCTTAGCTTGATGGTTACCGTGCGTGGAAGTTTGTACCAGTTGATGATCGATGTTTGCAACATTTGTTTTGACATGCGTTTTGGTTTGGGGGGTTAGCGGCATCGGGAGGAGGATAATGAGGAGGATGAGGAGGAGGAGGAACATGTAGTTTGGTTTTTAGTTTGCGGCGTGGTCTAGGAGTCCATGGACTTGTGCGAGGTTCAAAAGGGGGGAAAGCCTGAGGAGGCTGAGCAGCAGCAGCAACAGTAACAGCAGCGGAGAGGTCCCTAGCGTTCTCTGGATATAGGCTTTGAGAGGATTCTGGAGGTCCAGACACTGGGCTAAAGAACATCCCAACCCTCGATCCTCTATCCTCGGAGCTCGATCCTCCACCTGGCAGAAATTGAGGAAAATGACGAGGAGCAGCGTAAACCCAAGACTCATCAACGATATTGCAATAAACCCTCCCTCCAAGTTCCCTCGTCATAGGCACCAAAGAAGGATTCATTATCATTGAGGGAAGTGCCCTGTTGAAAGACAACCGTTTGAAACGCTGTGCCAGAATAGGCTTCCTGGGACTTCTTCAACGCCGCGAACCACCGTTGCTGCTGCGTCTTGACGGTCCTGAATCGCACCAAAACATTATTCCTGGGACATCAACTCCGCGAATCAACGTAACTGGTGTGCCCTGACAGTTCGACGCCGTGCCAAAGCACCCGTAGTGGAACGTGAGCCATGTGAGTCTTTGGGGCATTTGAAAGACAGCACTTGCAACGAATGCGCGCGGCGCTGAGGCGAGAGCCACACTTCGAAAAGGAACTGCCCTCCATCCGTGAAGCTCTTGCATATGCTTAAAACGAATGTACGCGGCGCTCAGGCGAGAGCCGAATTTTGAAAACGGCCAGCCCACCATTCGTGAAATTCTTGCCATTTGTCCCAACCATCTTGTGGTCTTGGGTCTTCTTTTTGAAGTGACAGCGCCCTGCTGTGATAGAGTGCTTTTGCAATGGTTTAGGTTTAGCTAATGGGTCAAGCCCAAGAGACAGATGAGCCAAGACCATTGTTCGTTCGGTCTGTTGCCGGGTTGGTTCAAGGAGAAGGCTTCTGCGTATCTTCTTGCTGCCGCAGTTGCTAGCGGAGCGGGGCTGGCCATGGCCGATGCGGGTGGCGCGGACCGCAGCTGGTGAAAAGCTGCGGCGCACTGCTCCAGCGGCCAAGCCGGTCTCGTTCGACTAGACGGACGGTGTGGGATCCACGGCAGTGGCCGGCATGCCGGCCGAGAGGGACGAGACGTATTCCGACTTTCTTGATACGCGTCGGGGGGGCGTCATCCCCGCCAACAGCCCCACATCGACCCCCGTCGCGGGCAGCTGCCGCGCGCCGAATGCGCTCCGACCCCCGTCGCGGCGCGACGACGAGGCGAGGTTGACCCCCGTCGGGGGGGCACCCCCCACGCTTATTAAGAAACCTAGAGCACGCTGTGCTGAATGGCGGAGCCAAGGGCAAAGGGAGGCCCGAAGCGTCTTCCGCCGCGGCGGCCCCCGAGCAGCCTCCTGATCAGGGCGACCGGCTCTCTGCACAGGCGCAAGCGCTCGTCAAGAAGATGTTGCAAAACGTTATGGCGGGCAGGAGTTCGGCGGGGGCGGCCGGATCAGCAGCAGCGGACACCAGTGGTGGCGAGACAAACCTTGCGAACGGCGACCCGTGGCTGAAGGACGACCCCTGGAGAGGCAAGTCCATTGGCTGGCCCGGTGACGGCGGAGCCGAGAACAAGTGGACCAACGGCGACGCCTGGGACTATTGGGGCAGCAAAACTTAGCATGAGCAG